TGTGCATATGTCTATCTTGCCTACAACAAGCATGCATTACTTTTGTAACAGCTCCCAACACTATAGAGCAGAATTGGGAGCAGAAAGAATGAGCCTCATTCAACAGCTCATTTTCTAAACATTTCCTGAGCACTGACTTCCCTCCAACCATGACTTTAACACTTTTCCTTCCATTCAGGCTGGGATAGTCATTCCAAAATGAATATTAAGGGTTGGAGAGTTGACTGCCCCAAAACAGGGTCTCTCCAACACGGAGAAATTGTTTCTTACCTGGCTGTCCTAGAGCAGCTTGACCGGAGCAGGCCCTGGACGGCCTTCCCATGGCCCAGGCAAGCCAGCGGGCCAGATGTGGCCTGCAGATGTGCTTTGACAGCACAGTGGTTATCTTTTTAAAGTTTATTTAAATGTTTGGAGCCTTGAACTGGGGCATGTGCTCTCTGGTTTTCCTGTCTTCACACCCCGCACTGGGGTGCCCCGGGACTGTTCCTCCCAGTTATATTGCCTGCCTGGTCTCTACGGGCCTTCTGCTGTAGAAGATGATTGATGACCAGTCAAGAGGCACCAAAATGAGCTCCTCCTGACTTCACTTGTCTTTAACCATATTCATGTATTTACACCCTCAGGCAGAAATGGGACACGAAGGTGAGCAGACACAGTATAAGCCATAACCTTATGTGAGGGAAGTAGCAAAGTTGGCTCTGAGCTTCCCAGTGGTTAAACCAAAGAAGGAAACCCAATCACTTTTACAATTCACATTGTCAGTAAGTCTAAACTTAAACTATTTTCTCAAGAGAAACAAGCTTTACTTTGAAAACAAGCTCATAAGATGAAAACTGCCTTTGCATACTTTCTCTAGATTTGGGAGCTCAGAATTCTAAAATGATCCCAGAAGAAGCTATACAAATACATTAAATGCAAAATGCATATAGAGCCAGCTTGATGTCTATATGAGCTAATTGAGAGGAGAAAGGATTTTCAGTTTAGCACACAAGCACTTAGTACATCTTTCTTCCCACATTATAGATAGCATTGCTATTTTCTAAGTGAAAACTGAAATATTTCATCTAGGCATGCAAATTAGCCTGGACTCTGTGCCCAAGGTATAAAATAAATGGGATCATGAATATTTTTTCAAGGGATTCATTCTACCTTTCTTATTCCTGTCTAGTTTAGTGACACTGTGTAAATGGGGAGGAGGAGGGACCATATTTAGCTCATGGGAAATAAGAGTAGAATCAGGGTAGAAACAGGCGACTGTGTTCTAGTACTGTCATAACTGAGTGTTTCTCCACCTGACTGGCTGATCATTGGAAACACCTGGAAATTTTTGACCAATACCACGCCTGGGTCTCACCCTAGACCAGCTGAATATGAATCTCTTGAGTTGAAGCCCAGGGGAACGTTTTTGTTCAAAAAGTCATTTGGCGACTCTAGGGTGGGGCCAGGACTTTGGGTCCTGATGTCTCTGGACGTCTGTGGACCAGAGGTCTCAAACTCGAGGGCGTGAGACTCACCTGGCAAGCCAGCTGAGATGCACGTGCTGGGCCTCACCCGCTCCGGAGAGTCTCATTTAGTAAGTCTCCGGGGGGTGAATCAGTGTTGAGAAAAACTGAACGACTCTTACTTCCCACCTAGTATCGCAAAGTCTGTGATGTGTCTTAAAATACGGGAGCAAATGTAGGACAGAGCACTTAGTGAAAAAATGGAAAAGGGCGTCGGAAAGCCGAAGGGAAAAGACAATCATAGTAGAAAACGGAGAGGACAATCACAAACGAACACAGAATTTGACTTTGCTTTGTCTGCAACCAGGGCTTCTGTGCCTGCCAGCCTCGAGACCTGTTCTTGCTGTGTGACTCGGCCAGCCACACGTTTCCTGGCCTGTCAAGTGGGAGGGGTACAGCATGGTGCACGGGGGCGGACTTCCTCCATAGCCACGGAGGGGGTTCTGGGAAGGGGCGGAGGACGACGGCATTTCGAAAAGAGGCCTGGGTAAGTGTGGGCGCTCCCTGGCCCTTGCGGGTACCGGTGTCTGAGCCGTCGCACCCTCCGAGCCCGGACCTGAGCTCCCAGTGGGAACTTCCGAGCTGCTCCTTGCAAAGCCCGACAGCCCATTTCACGCGGAGGTTAAAGGACATTTCTGCCTCAAGCAGGCATTCCCCACCAAGAGAACGGGCATGAGCAATGTCTAGTGCCGCTGGGTGTCTGGACGAGGGAGGCGTCTGGGGTGGCAGGGGCTGCGGCAGACGCGTGGCCCCTCCGCTGCCCCGCCGCCTGCCTGGCTGCCCAGCGCCGGTTGGAGGACGTATTTTCATGCGACGAGGTCTGTGTTTTCACTCGGAGAGACCCGACAGGAGCCGCTGCAATATTTCACCGGCTCTTGTGTTTGTCGGCTCCACTAATCATCAGCCTCAATCACTGGAGCGATATTTTATGAATTAATAAAAATGATCACGGGCAATCCAGGGGGACTCGGGGAAGAAATGCGTGCAGTAGAATTTTAATGAGCACCGTGGGGAATTTCAACCTTTTCTCGATTTTATTTATTTATTTTTTTAAATCTTCCCTTCTCCCATCCACAGTCCCCTCCCCTGAAACCCCCCCCCACCTGGTTCCCTCCCCCGTCAGCACAATCAGAGCTAGCGCTGTTGTAAATCACTGTCACGCAAATTAGGTGTTTTCTCTCAGCCTGTTGTTTGGCCCACAACAGTGCCGTCCTGTGCCACCAACGTGCCCCACGCACCTGCTCTCCGTCCTAATTGAGCAGATGATCTGCGGTTTGTCATGCTTAGCCCAGACCCCCTTCCTGGCACCCCTCCCCCAGACTGCCAGGCTTGGCCTGCCTGGAACACTGGGCAGATGTAAAGCTCCCTGCATGTGCGTGTGCGTGTGTGCGTGCGTGCGTGTGCGTGTTATGACAGATCTTGTACTCATTATTGAATAATTCATTGTTGCGTTAATGTCTTCAGATACCATCTCTCACTTCCTCACTCTTCCTCTCTCTCATCTGGCCCGCTTGGGAAAACGTGATTATGCCTGCCGCTCTGACGACAGAGTATACAGATAAAAGATAATTGCTTGGCTTGACTCATCCATTGATATGAAAATAAGATTTAAATTATTCACTCCGGTTTAAAGGTTAGTTGAAGGTTATTACAGGGGATGAAGGAAAGAAAGCTCGCTCTTCATGACGCTGGGGCTGAGATAAGGCAGGTCTGAAAGGGCCTCATTTGCACCGCAGGCAGGGGCGCCTTGCTGTGAAGACACTGAGAGTCCCGCTAGAGATTTTAATCTCGGAGAAGTCAATTATTTATAAGCAAATTATGGCGGCTTTTCATATATAGAAAACACTCTGTGTCATAAATAAGGGCACGGCGGTGGCTGTTCCTTTCTCGGCACCCAGTTTTTCTTGATCTCGGGGGGCCAGGCCTTGTCGCAGCCGGGGTTTGATGAGCCTCCCCCCCTCAGGGGAAGGTCAGCTGCCTGGGTGGGGGTGGGGCTCTTTCTAATGGACGGTACCGGTGGTGATCATAGCAGTAATCATAATTGGGCTTTGAGGGGCGCTGCCGCTGGGCCTGACCCCAGTGCGTGGGGGGACAGCCGGGAAGGTGGGGGTGGGGGGGCACTGCCCGCCGGCGCCTGGCCCTCCCGCCCGCCAGGCGTGGGGTTCCCAGCGGGCTGCTGCAGATTTGCATAGGAAATCATCTCCGAGCTGCCTCTTCCCAAGGAGGCGCATCTCCCACGGAGGATCAATAATTGATGGCCTCGCACGCTGCCGGAAGGTGGGCGCTGTCGCAGGAAGCACCCAGTGGCTCCTCCTCAGCGGCGCCCATGCACGACTCATGGGCAGCCATTTGTGTGGAGACGCAGGCTGTGGGAGGTGAGTGGGCTCATCTCCCGCAGCCCACCTTGTCGCAGGCCCAGGAATGCTCTCCAGGAGCCCCCAGGTGAGTGGCTCGCTGCAGGGCCTGGAACCTCCTCCTGCTGCGCCTTCGTGGGCGCCTTTCCCCTCCCAATACCTGCAAGCAGGGCATCGCCTGTGCAGTCCTGCAGCCCCCTGGGATTGGCCCAGGAAAACATGCGGCCTCAGAAAGCAAGGCTGTTGGGTCTCCCAGAAGGATCCTGGCCTGGCGGGCTGCGCTGCGGGCTCCCACGGCCGCCTCCCGGGCTCTGGCCAGGCGCGGTTGCCCTGTCTGGCTGCGGGAACCTCCAGTCATCTGCGGCGCCTCTCCACACGATCACGCAGCCTCCAAGCTGTCAGCCCCAGTCCGTTCTCTGCAGGGATCCCGTCTGGAAAGGAGCCTGGCCCTCACAGGTTTCAGGGAAGAGCTGGAACAGATCTTTGCCCAAGTGGCCAGCCTGCACCTGGGCTGGCCTGGCTGGCCAAGGGGCGGAAAGGGCAGCTGGCAGCAATAGTGTGCGGGAACATGACACCGCAGATGGGGTCAGTGACACTTCCGGGCGGCTTGGATCGTGGGGGCTTGCAGCTTACAGCAAGATGACATTCTTGCAGCCCTCTCGCCTCAGCCTGGAGCCATGCCCCTGCAAAAGCTCTGCAGGCAAAACTGGTGGGCTTCCCCATGATTTTACATATATGCAAACACAAAGACTGGAACAAACACACACTTTTGTGTGCGTTTTGTCTGGCTGTCTTACTGAGACCCAGAGAGGTTAAGCGACCTGCCCAAAGTCACACAGCAAATACTGGCAGAGTGTAACGTCAATCCAACTCTCCTGATACCTAGCTAATCATATTTTAGGGTTTTCCCTATTTAATGTTTGAGATCCAGGAAAAAATCGAATGTTGCTCTTTACTGTACAATCCAGCCCCCACTGCAGGTGTGGGGAGGGGGCAGGGCTTGGTTCTTCACCTGTAGGGGATTGGACTGGGGTCTGCTGGGCTCCTTTGAGCTCTGAATTCTATGAATGTAAATGTAGTAGAATATTCCTCAAGGAATATTCTCAGGGGCAGAGACCCTATCTTAAGTCATTAGACGAAAAGAAACATTTGCTACACATTTATACTGAGCAAGGCGGGCCGCAGGCCCTGCGAGGGTTCTCAAAGATCCTGTCAGTCTGCAGAAAACGCAAGTAAAATAGGGGGTGACCCCCAGCAGGCAGGAGTGGGGGTGAGGCCGCCGGTGGGTGCTGTGAGTGCCGCAGGAGGTCCCAGCTGGGGGGACCGGCAGGAGGCAGAGCTGGCAGGGCTGGCTTCGCTTCGGGAGGGAGAGGGGCTGAGCTGGAGACCGAGACGGCAGCCTGCGCGGGGCAGGGGTGAGGAAGGCGGGGTGAGTGGTACGAGCAAGGCGAGAAGAAGGGGACCAACCAAGCCTGAGGGGTGAGGGCTCAGTGCCGACCTTGACCGAGGGGTGTGCTGGGTGAGCCGGGGTCGGCAGGCCGGGGGTTGGGGGAGCTTCGGTGCTGGGCGGAGTCCCTGCTGGTCTTGGAGCAGGAGGACGCTGAAAGCAGGGGCTAAGGGAGACTTCCTGTAGGGAAGAGGCCAGAGGTAGGAAACCTAAGGAAGAAGGGGCTGAGGGATTATACCTGGGCCTGGGCCAGGGGATGGGTGGAGCATTTTCAAAGTCGAGGTGACAGGATTTGCGGGAAAAGTGTAAGGGAGAAGGAGCGCCAAAGCGAGTGCAGACAGGAAAATGGGGGGTCCGGGCGGGGAAGCACGAGGAGCTTGCCCTGGGACCCAAGGAGAGAGCCGCCGGGCGGTCAGTGACAGAGGACCAGAGAGGCCTGGGCGGGGCGGGCCCTCAGGCCTCCGCACACAGGTCGGGAGGGGACTTGACTTGCTGACGTGGCCCTTGGCAGTCGCGCCGGCCCCAGGGCCCTGGCACCCCCTCCGCCCGGTCACAGCGCCTCATAACGACACCTGCACTGGAGGGAGGGAAGGCAGCGGGTGCTGGCTCAGGGTTGGGCCCCTCGACCCACTTTCCCAGCAGGCTCAGGGAGGTTGGAGCTCTTGGCTGAGGCAAGGCTGGAAGGATTATGCAGGCTCCACTCGGGGGACTGGCTGCACCACACCAAGCAGGAGTCTAATCATTTCAAATCTCTGGGTTCTGGAAGGTCCTGTGCGAGGTCTGGGGCAGAGGCCGCTGCACCGGCATACACGGCCGATCGCCGCCGGCGCAGGGCCGCGGGGTTGACGCGTCCAAGGTCACCGCAGGAGCCGGGCGTCCATCTAATCAGTGGATATTAAAACCCTCCTGATCATTCTTGCAAGCTGACTCCCTGATGCGATCCGGAGCCGCGCCTGGATTTAAGTTCTCATTACCCATTTCCACCCACAGGTAGCAGGTCTCGCTCATCCACCACGGGCAATTTCCTGCTCCATTATGTGTGAAAATCAGAGAGCAGCTGCCGTCAGGAGAGCGCAGGAGCCCTTGTCCCTCTCCTCTTAAAACCAGTAGAGGGGCCCTTCCTGTAACGCTCGGGCTTTGTGGCGCCGAGTGCCAGGCCGGCATGCACCTGCAGAGCCTGACACTGGGCAGTGCCCATGACAGGTGGGCAGGGGCGGCTGCTCGCCCGTCCCCGGCGGCAGAGCCTGGGCTGGAATAGACGTTTCCTTTTAATAACAGCCCTCACATCTGAGCAGAGAACGTGGTCTGCTTTGCAGGAGAACGTCCCACCCGCGGCCTCCCAGCCTCTGGGAGGAAGGGGAGCAGGTGCTCTGTCCCCTGGCCTTGGAGAAGCTTGTGATGCCCCCAGGTTGGCTTCTGACCACACACTGCCCGTGCTGCCATCTCCCCCCGCACTCTCCTTTCCTCTAAACCCCGGTCACAGAGGGCAGAGGGCACATCTGTACTCGTTATCTATTGCCGCGCAACAAGCGGTCCCCAGACATCAGAGCGAAAGCAACAACATGCATTTACGTCGGCACAGTTTCCGTGGCTCAGGCGTCCTGCGCTCTGTGTGTGACGGAGGCAGGTGCATCATGAGTGCCTCAGTGTGGCCACGTCCGTGTGCAATGCCGTGCTTCACGGGGTGTGGTGCGTGTGGCGTGGCCTGCGGTGGCAACCGTGGAGCCGTCCCGCAGAGCCCGCGTGCGGCTGCTCGGGGCAGGGCACTCAGGATGGCGTGGCCGGGCCCCTGGCTCAGGGCCTCTCTAGAGGTTGCAGTGAAGACGTCCTTCGGCCAGCGCTGCGGTGGCCTGGGCCGTGACGGAGCGGAGGACGCGTTGTTCCCAGGGGCTGGCCAGCTGCTGCCGGCGGGTGGCAGGGGCCGAGCTCCTCGCCGCGCAGATCCCCGCTCCGCAGGGCTGCTTGAGGTGGGCAGGCAGGTGGGGCGGAGGGGGCGGCCTGAGGCTCATGCCTAAGGTGCCACCCGTACGGCCAGCTTCCCCCCAGGCTCTCTGCAGGCGGCTGAAGCCGGCGGTACCGGCCATCCAGGCCCGCAGCGCTGTCTGCGCCCGCCATCCCGGGGAAGAATGCAGCGTGGCGACACTCACGGGCTCCAGAGAGAAGGACGGGCCCACTTCCCGAGTGGCCCTGGGGATGACGCCCTCTCCGGGGCCTGAGCCGCCTCTTCTGCGGAGCTGTGGTGGAGGCTACACATGGCTGGTTTCCCTCGGGGTCGAGGGAAGCGCAAGTGCAAGGTGTCGGGAGGGCGGCGCGCGGTGAGTGCGCAGGGAGCTGATGGTGCGTCTCGTTCGTTCTTCCCCGCGGCCTGGCCTGCAAGAAGGGCCCCGCTGACGCAGGGCGGGGCTCTGCCGGCTCACACAGGGCGAGGAGGCACACGCATGCCCTGCTCCGTCCGCACGGGCTCCCCCGGCAGCTGAGGAGGAAGAGACCCCAGGGGGGAGGTGGTGTCCCGGCACTCACGGCCGAGCCTCCCGGGTTCTGTCTGCCAGACTGAGGGGTGGGACACGGGGCCGGACTGGGTGCCTGGGCCGGAGAGAGCCCCGAGGTGGGAGGCCCTGTCCTTCCCGAGGCTCGGAAGGGGGTGAAGAGACACGGCCTGGCGCAGGGGTTGGGTGGGGTGAGGGGCGTCCCTGCCCTGGGTGATGACCCAGAGTAACGACAGCTAACATGAATGACCCTGTCCCTTTCATGCCCATCACCCTGGGTCCTCTTTCACCCCCTAGACTCGTAAAAAAAATCCCATAAAGCTCCATGGACCGTAATTATTCCCTAATACAATCCCGGGAGGTAGGCAACGTGTTAGTGGTCTTACGCCCACTCTACAGATGAGGAAATCGAGGCCCAGACACAGGTCTCTTTCCCTACAGCCTCGTTCGCTAGCTGCACCCACACCTTCCCTGTGCCCTGTCACGCACTCTGCCTTTCCGTGTTTGAGCGGTTCGAGTATTTTCTGTAACACTTACCGTCCCCGATGCCGTTCCTTTTCTCCGTGTGCATTTGTCCCGCTGCCCGGTCTGTGAGGTGGCCCCCGACCGGCAGGGACGTTGGTCATGTGCGTTCGCCGCTGCGCCTGCGGCACAGAGACCGGCACTCGGGTGCCTTGTCGCACCCCACTGAGTCCTCCAGCCACTGGGGGTGGGCGCTGCTCTCAACGCCACCTCACAGGGAAGAGACCCAGGTGTGGTGCGGCGCGTGTCACCCCAAGGTTGGATGGCCGCGGAGGGGACCGCTGGAGGGGCACACCTGCCTCTCTGCCAAGCTGCCCCTCTAGAGCTCGAGACAGGATTCGGAAAGTGAGAGGAGGCCTTTCCTGCTCCACAGCAGGGAGGGCTGGGGGCTGCCCCGGGCCTCTCCACCCACGGCCACCCTCGCCAAGGCTACAGCTTACCTGGCCATGCCCCCGGGCCTCTCCACCCACGGCCACCCTCCCCAAGGCTACAGCTCACCTGGCCATGCCCCCGGGCCTCTCCACCCACGGCCACCCTCACCAAGGCTACAGCTCACCTGGCCATGCCCCTGGGCCTCTCCACCCATGGCCACCCTCCCCAAGGCTATAGCTCACCTGGCCATGCCCCGGGACCCCACAGCCCCGCCCCAGAGCACCAGGCCTGGGAGGGACCTTGTGCTTATAGACTCCATCCTTCCATTTATGGATGGGTAAACTGAGGCCGGGGGAAGAGGGCAGTCGGCATTTTGGAGGACTGGGTGCTCACCGCCGCACCCACTCCCCTGCGCCCGGTCACTAGCGGGCCCTTCCTCGCAACAGCAGGGCCACTCCCCTGGCAACAGGCTTCGTGGCCACTCGCCTCCTCTCCCCCCTGGGCCACGGCTGCGTGAGCTGTCACCTCGTGGGGGGTGGCTGTGGGTGGACAGGTGGGAGTGGAGAGAGAGGTGAGTCTCCTCCAGACCTGTCCCTCCCTCTCTGGAAAAAATCCCACCTGGAGACCCACATCTCTGGGGCCAGCGCGCCCGGCTCTCACTCAGCGGCCAGCCCTGGCAGGCTCGTCTCCGCATCTGTCAAGGAAGAAGGGTTTGCACCTGAGCATTTCCAAGGCCTGGGGCTCTCAGCACTTCTGAGATGCTGGACCTGGGTTTGCCCACGAAGGCTGGGCCCTGCACGCTCTGCCCCAGGGCCCAGCGCCTTGCAGCCAGTGGGAAGCAGCCACTCCTGGCTGTGGGGACAATAACTGCCCTGCCAGGGCCATACCTGCTAGCTGGGAGAGAGAAGTCTGTGCAGAGGAGACGGGCTGGGGCGAGGCCGCACACACTAGTCCCGGTGAGATGTGCGTTCTCAGGGATGCGGCAATTCTTCTCCCAGCCACTAGGAGGGAAATAGAGCGGGTCCCCGGCCCCATCTGGAGCAGGCAGGGGCTGGAGACCCGGGTCCCAGGCTCGGCAGCCAGGGAGCTGCGGCAGCACTGGGGTCAATGGGTTAATGCCAGCAGCTGAGTTTAGGGGTTGCTTCCTCTGGCAGGCGGCTCCGCTGTGCGCTTTCTGTGCACTAACGCTCAGCCAGCCTGGGGTGCTGACATCTCCGTGTGCAAATGAGCCAACGGCCACCCAGGGAAATCAAGGAACTTGCCCTTCCAGGAGGCAGGACAGGGCCCAGACACCAGGGTGGCCTAGCTCCACAGCCGCGCCGGTGCTCTCCTAGGGTGCCACACCCAGGTGGCTGCCGCGCTGCTCACCGCCTCTGCTCACCTTGGGGAGATGCTCAGCTCTTCCCCTCGGTTCTGAGGCCCAGGATAGCGGCAGAACAAAGTGGCAGGGCAGGCTGCCTGGCTTGCAGGACGGCTGCGTGCTGGAGTAAGGGGCACACTTGTACGTGTCTGCACCAAGTAAGCGCTCTTATGCACACGTGTACAGTACTCCAGGAGCTGTGCACGCGCGCGCGCACACACACGCACACGCACACACACACACGCACACACACACACACGCTGGCCCCGCTCGACTATCCATGCATACATGTAAACACAGACATGCAGTAGTAGTTTCAGGCACCTGTCCTTGTTTATGCCCACGTGTAAGGATGTGCTCACACGCGTGCTCAACTCCAGAGGGGCTGTGACCTCACACAAATCTTTGACCTGGCGACTGCAGAGAGCGAACGCCCAATCTGCTGTTGCCAAGAAATGCAGAGGAAGAAAGAGTCTCATCCTCCTTTCCCTCTTGGCTAGGAATTCCCCTGCGCATCCCTCCGGCTTCTCCCTCCAGGCTCCTGTTTCCCTGAGCCACCCTTAGGCTTCTCTGCAGGCTCTGAAGGGAGGCAGGAGGGGGCAGAGGGGAGAGGAGGCAGGAGGGGGCAGAGGGGAGGGGAGGCAGGAGGGGCAGAGCGGAGGGGAGGCTGGAGGCGGGGGTGGGGGCGGGAGCGGCTCTGGCCCACTCAGCATCTGCCCCACACTGGCACACTGGCGCTGGCTCCTGCTCTGCCCAGCAGTGTCCTCATTGGAAACAGCCTCGTTTGACTGTTGCTATTGATTATGGCAAGATTGTGTGTGGCTAAGAGCTCCTCGGAGCCAACTGGTATATTAAGCAATCATTTCTACAGCAGATGACATAACTCCCCCGGCATCGGTCTGTCCTAATGGGCTTGGTATTACTCATGTGCTAATTGATTGGGCACGGAGGGAAGAAAAACGGAATTCACTTGCGAGGCGATTTTATGGCAGAGCTCATAACAGAGGTAATTTGCTGAAAATGTTCAGTCCCGCTCCGGTTATGTAAGATCGTCTGTGTCCTGTGTTTTATCTCCTGCACGGTGGCGCAGGGAGCTGGCCTGGCTGCCGAGCCCGGGCAGGGAGACTCCCCCGGGGACAGGTGCTGACAGCCAGCCCAGCCCTCTCCCCTGCCTGGCACAGTCTGGCTGTCCTTGGGGAGCGGTGACAATTAGTGCCTTATGCACAACTTTCTCGCCTCAGGGGCGGCTTTCAAAATATCTCAGCTTCTCCTGTTAAAAAGCGCCTCTGTCTAAGGGCAAAATAGTTATTTTCGGATCAGCCATCTAGTGTTACAAAGCTCTTGTTCAGAAAGGAAAGGGATTTTTTTTTTTTGAGAGAAAAAATATTTTGCCTGGAAGAGGGAGGGATGGAGAGGCTTGAAGAGACTTGAAGAGCCTCCGTCCTTCCCTCCTTTCCTGCCCCACCCCTCCCACTCTCCCTCCCTCCCTGCTGACTCTCTCCCTCCTCCCTCCCTCCCCGCCCCTCCCCCTTTCTCCCTTGTTACTCCCCCATCCTTTCTGGAAGCAGCCCGCCTTGCCTTGCCACTGTCGTCTGGAGGAGGCTTGGGCCCTTGCTTGGCGCTTGCACTCTAGACTGGCGGCCGCGTCCTGTGCCACGCTGCCATGCTGCAGGGGCAGAAGCGATCTGTCTAGCCCTGTCTGCCGTGGCCGGGTCGGCCGGGTGTGTGCAGCGAGAGAGGCTCTGCAGCCAGGGCTGCCCGCCACAGCTGGACTAGCTTCTGCTCTGTGGTCTCCCTGGGCCCAGGGCGGGGAGGCCTTCTTAGGCACAGCTGGGGGCTTCCTCATGAGCTGTGTGGCGTTTCCAGGAGGGAGGCTGGGCCGTCCTCAGGGCTTCCCTGGGCCCGGAGCCCGATGTGATATAAGGATGCTGGGAGAGATTCTCTGCGCGCTGCTCAGTCTCAGTGCAGGGAAGGGTGTGGACTGTCACTTCTGCCTGCGTCCAGAGTCGTGCCTCCTCCTTTTGACCATGACCTACGCGTTCTCTGGGGGATTTTACTTCCAGCTGAAGCAGTCAGGCTGCCGCTCCCTGTAGTGACCCAAAGAGGAAACCAAGACGCTGTGCGATTCCATTTCTCAGATAGCAAAACTGAGATGAGGTAGCTAGAAAGTGGCAGCGCTGGGATGGCACTCAGACAGTCTGGCCGCAGGCTGGCGCTCACAGCCACCAAGTGTTACTGGGGTGGTCTGCAGGACACCTCGTCCAGGGATTCTTACCCCTTTGGAGCTCAGGGCTCTCTGAGATCTGATGTGAGTGTGGAGCCCTCCCAGAGAGATGCACTTGTGTGCATAGATGGAGACTCTTGCTGACAGTTTCGGGGTGTCCTGAAATTAAGTAGTCTGTTCCTAGGTGCCTGCGTGCCTGGTCCGGACGCTCACCCTAGCCAGTGTTTTCTGCAGTCTGCGTTGGGGCGGGGGAAGGTGAGACATGTTTGAGCTTTGGGGTGAGGGACACGGAGTTGGCTCATGGAAGTGTCTCAGACGGTGGGGTGGCGGGAGGACGCTTCCGTGGGGACTGCAGCGTGACTGCAGCAGCTGGCTGCCCAGCAGGGCTCAGCCTTCCCTGGGGTGTTCAGGCGCTGGTCTGGGTGGGTCTGGGGGTGCTACAGGGGACGGAGATGACAGGGGAGCACAGTCCATCCCAGGATTTCAGGGAGACCAGGAGGGGAATGTGGGGGCAGTCAGGGGAGGGTGCTGATTGTATCTGTGCGGGATTTCCCCACCCCTAATTATCCTGTGGTAATTAATAGGCCTAGCTTGGCCAGGTGAGTAGCCAACAAGGGAACAGAGGAGCTGATTGCTTAACCCTGGCGGGGCAGGGGCAGCTTTATGAGAGCGGGGAGGAGGCAACCCCTGTGGGGGGGGCAGGGATGCCCCTGTTCCCAAATGGATAGGATCTGCTCTGCTCCCTGTCTACTGGCAATTCCGCCATTGCAGAGGCATTGTCTGGGTCTAGAAAGATATTGTCATTTGAAGTATATGAAATGTCTTGGGGAAGGGGAACAGCTTCAGCTGTTGTCAGTGACAAATTTAGTGGGTTTCATTGGTCTCCACTTGAGTACAAAAGAAGTTCCCATGGCAGAGAGACTAACGGTACCTACTGCACGTGGCTGTTGGGAGCAGTACGTGAGCCCATGCTTCTGAGGGCTTAGCCACAGCCTGGCCCGTAGGAAGTGCTGATCAAATGGGGGCTGCTCTGATTTGGGGACCAGGAGGGTTTGGGGGCTGTCTAGAGGCACAAGAGACCCACTTGGCTGACTTCACAGGTGGGCCGGCTGTGGGGGCCGTCAGAGAGCCACCCATGGGCCTGGCTGGCATGGGTAGAGGTCCTCCCTGTGGTCCCCAGGCAGGGGTGGGCCCTGAAGGCCAGCTTGGAGTCCTCCGGGCTTCCCCATGCTCAGCTGTCACTGCTGAGAGAGGGCAAGAAAGGTCTGGGGAGACCTAGAGGTGGGGTAGGGGGTAGGGGAGGGCTGAGAGCAGGAACAGGGATTCAGAGGGAGAGAAAAGGATTTGGTAAAGTCTCAGGATACAAAACCATTACACAGAAATCAGAGGCATTTATATACGCCAACAACAGTAAAAGTGAGAACCAAATCAAAGACTCAATTCCATTCAAAATAGCAACAAAGAAAATAAAGTGCCTTGGAATATACTTAACTAAGGAGGTAAAAGACCTCTACAGGGAGAACTATGAAACACTGAAGAAGGAAATAGCAGAGGACATAAACAGGTGGATGAATACACCATGCTCGTGGGTCAGCAGAATCAACATTGTTAAAATGCCTATATTACCCAAAGTGACCTACAGAGTCAACGCAATCCCTATCAAAATACCATCATCATTTTTCACACATAGAAAAAATAATTTTATACTTCGTATGGAACCAGAGAAGACCCCATATAGCAAAATCAATCCTTGGCAATAAAAACAAACTAGGAGGTATCAATCTACCAGATTTCAAACTATACTACAAGGTTATAGTAATTAAAAGAGCTTGGGACTGGCACAAGAACAAGGACATTGACCAGTGGAACAGAACAGAGAACCCAGATATAAAACCATCCTCATATAGCCAACTAATCTTCAACAAAGCATACAAAAACATACACTGGGGAAAAGAATCCATATTCAATAAATGGTGCTGGGAAAACTGGATAGCCACATGTAGAAGACTGAAACAAGACCTACACCTTTCACCTCTCACAAAAATCAACTCACGCTAGGTAACAGACTTGAACCTTAGGTGTGAAACTATTAGAATCCTAGAGGAAAATGTTGGAAATGCTCTTCTAGACATTGGCCTAGGCAAAGAATTTATGAAGAAGACCCCAAAAGCAACCACAGCAGCAACAAAAATAAACAAATGGAACCCGATCAAATTAAAAGCTTCTGCACAGCCAAAGAAACTGTCAAGAGAGCAAACAGACAACCCACAGAATGGGAGAAAATTTTTGCAAGCTACACATCTGATAAAGGGATGATAACTAGAATCTATTTAGAACTCAGGAAAATCAGCAAGAAAAAATCAAACAACCCTATCAAAAATGGGCAAAGGACATGAATAGAAACTTCTCAAAAGAAGACAGAATAATGGCCAACAAACATATGAAAAAATGTTCAACATCTCTAATCATCAGGCAAATGCAAATCAAAACCTCAATGAGATATCACTTAACTCTAGCGAGAATGGCCTTTATCAAAAAGTCCCCAAACAACAAATGTTGGCGTGGATGTGGAGAGAGAGGAATATTCCTACACTGCTTGGGACTGCAAACTAGTTCAACCTCTGTGGAAAGCAATATGGAGATACCTCAAAGTGATACAAGTAGATCTACCATTTGATCCAGCAATCCCACTACTGGGCATCTACCCAAAAGATCAAAGTCATTTTATGGAAAAGACACCTGCACTCAAATGTTTATAGCAGCACAATTCACAATTACAAAGCTATGGAAACAACCCAAGTGCCCATCAATTCATGAGTAGATTAATACAATGTGGTAAATACCATGGAGTACTACTCATCATCTTTAAGAAACAATGGTGATATAGCACCTCTTGTATATTCCTGGATACAGCTGGAACCCATTCTACTAAGTGAAGTATCTCAAGAATGGAAAAACCAGCACCACATGTACTCACCAGCAAATTGGCATTAACGGATCAACACCTAAGTGGACATATAGGAATAACATTTATCAGGTGTCGGGAGGGTGGGAGGGGGAGGAAGGGATGGGTGTATACAACAACAACGAGTAAGATGTGCAACGTTTGGGGGATGGACACGCTTGAAGCTCTTACTCGAGGGGGGAGGGGGCATGGGCAATATATGTAACTGTAACACTTATACCCCCATAATATGCTAAAATAAAAAATAACTGGAAAAAAAAATAAAGGCAAAGCTAGTCTGTGGGGAGGGAGGAGAGAGGGCTGGGGTGGAGACTGCTAATCACTGCCTCCCAGGCTCTGAAGGGTCTGCCCTAAACAGAAAAAAGAGCAAGACAAGAAATGTGTGGCTTTCGAGACTGAATTTAAATGGTGGATAGTATATGACCAGGTAGACACCTCTTCTGCCAAGAATATAAGTTCTATGAGGATAGGGACTGTTTTTTCACTGCTATATTCCCAACACTTGGAACAAGCTCTGGTGCAAAATAAGTGCTTAATAAATATTCCTTTCTTACATTTAAGTTTTACATTTATAATTGATACATAATAATTGTACATATTTATAAACATTTTGTGATGTTTCAATGAATGCATACATAGTATAATGATCAAATTGGGGTACCATATCCATCATTTTAAATATCATTTCTTTGTGGTGACATTTAAATTTTTCTCTTTTTGCTATCTTTTGAAGTATGCACTACATCGTTTGTTTGCTATAGTCACCCTATTGTGTAACAGAACACCAGGACTTCCTCTTCCTATGTAACTGTAGCTTTGACAGGTGACCAATGTCTCTCTCCAGCTCCTCCTCACCTCCCCCTCCCCAGCTTCCGGGAGCCACCGTTCTACTCGCTACTGCTGTGATATCAACTCTTGTAGATTCCACATAGGAAGGAGATCATGTGCTGTTTGTCTTTCTGTGCCTTTCTGGCTTATTTTGCTTAACAGAATGTCCTCCAGTTCATCTAGGTTGCTGCAAATGACAGGATTTCCTTCTGTTTTATGGCTGAATAGTATTTCATTGTGTGTATATACCACATTGTTTTTATTCCTTCATCATTTGATGGGCATTTAGGTTGATTCTGCATTGGGAATCATGCTGCAATAAACATGGGAATGCAGGTATCCCTTTGAAATACCAGTTTTATTTCCTTTGGATAAATATCCAGAGGTGGAATTGCTGGATCCTATGGTGGTTCTGTTTTTAGTTTTTGAGTAAGCTCCATACTGTTTTCCATAATGGCTGTACCAATTTACATTCCCACCAATGGTGTATAAGAATAGCCTTTTCGCCCCATTCTCGACAACATTTGTTTTTTTTGTCTTTTTGAGGATAACCACTCTAACTGGGATAAAGTGACATCTCATGGTTTTTATTTGCATTTCCCTGATGATTAGTGATGTGTGGAGCATTTTTTTCATATACCTGTTGCCTGTATGTCTTCTTTTGAGAAATGTCCATTCGGGTCTTTTGCTGATTTTTCAATTGCATTATTTGGATTTCTTTGCTATTGAGTTGAGTTTCATATATATTCTGAATATAAACTAATTGTCAGATGCATAATTTGCAAACATATTCTCCATTCTGTAGGTTGTCTCTTCACTTTGTTGAGTGTTTCCTTTGCTGTGTAGAAGCTTTTTAGTTTGATGAAATGCCAATTGTCTGTCTTGGCTTTTGTTGCCCATGCTTTTGAGGTCTTATTTTAAAAATTCTTGCCTAGTTCAGTATCACGAAGCATTTCCTCTACGTTTCCTGTTAGGGGTTTCATAGTTTCAGGTCTTACATTTAAGTCTTTAATCCATTTAGAGTTGATTTTTATATACAGAGAGGGATAAGGGTCTAGTTTCATTCTTCTATATGTGGATATCCAGTTTTCCCAGCACCATTTATTGAAGAGACCATCCTTTCCCCGATGTGTGTTCTTGGTGCCTTCATCAAAAATCAGTTGGCTATGAATACATGGATTTATTTCTGGGTCTCTACTCTGTTCCATTGATCTGTGTATTTTGATGCCAGTACCTTGTTTTGGCTACTATAGCTTTGTATAATAGTGTATTTTCAAGTCAGGGAGTGTAATGCCTCCACCTTTGTTCTTTTTGCTGAGGATTGCTTTGGTTATCCGAGATCTTTTGCCTTTCCATACAAATTTTAGGATTTTTTTTTCTATTTCTGTGAAGAATGTCATTGGTATTTTGATAGGGATTGCATCAAATCTGTAGGTTGCTTTGGGTAATATGAACATTTTAATAATATTAATTCTCCCAATCCATGAACGCAGGATATCTTTCTACTTATTTGTGTCCTCTTCAATTTATTGCATCAATGTTATATAGTTTTTGCTGTTGAGATCTTTCACTTCCTTGGTTAAGTTTATTCCTAGGTATTTTAATTTTTTTGTATCCATTGTAAATGAATTTGTTTTCTTGATTTCTTGTTTAGATAGTCTGCTATTGACTATCAGCTATAAATGCTACTGATATTGTATCCTGCAACTTTACTGAATTCATTTATTAGTTCTAATATTTTCTTGGTGGAATCATTAGGGTTTTCTATATATAAGATCACATCATCTTCATGAGGGACAATTTGACTTTCTCCTTTCCAATTTGGATGCTCTTTGTTTCCTTCTCTTGCTGAATTGCTCTGGCTAGGACTTTCAGTACTATATCAAACAAAGGTGGTGAAAGTGAATATTCTTGTCTTATTCTAGATTTTGTAGAAAAAGCTTTCAACTTTTCCCTGTTCAGTATGATGTTAGCTGAGGGTTTGCCTTGCATGGCCTTTATTGTGTTGAGGTATGTTATTGTGTTGAGGTATGTTCCTTCTATACCGAGTTTATTGAGGGTTTTTATCATGAAGGGATCTTGAATTTTACCAAATGCTTTTTCAGTGTCTATTGAAATGACTATGTGATTTTTGTCCTTGATTCTATTAATGTGATGGATCACACTGAGTGATTTGCATATATTGAACCCTCCTTGAATCCCTGGGATCAATCTCACTTGATCATGGAGAATGCTCCTTTAATGCACTCTTGAATTAGGGTTGGTAGTATTTTGTTGAGTATTTTGTTTTGCATCTATGTTCACCAGAGATATTGGCCTGTAGTTTTATCGTGTGTGTTGTATCCTTGTCTGGGTTTTGGTGTCAGGCTAATTCTATCCTTGTAAAGTGAGTTTGGAAGTATTCCCTCTTCTTTTAATTTTTCTGAAGAGTTTGAGTAGAATTGGTATTAGTTCTTTTTTAAATCTTTGATAGAATTCTGCAGTGAAGCTAGCAGGTCCTGGGCTTGTCTTTGATGGGAGACTTGTTATTACTGCTTCAGTCTCAATCCTCATTACTCATCTACCCAGGTTTTCTATTTCTTCATTGGCCAATCTTGGTAGATTGTACGTGCTCAGGAATTTATTCATTTCTTCAAGGTTTTCCAATTTGTTGGTGCACAGTTGTTTGTAGCAGTCTCATGATCCTTTGTATTTCTGTGGTATCAGTTGTAATGTCTCCTTTTTCATCTCTGATTTTATTTGAGTTTTCTTTCTGTTTTTCCTAGTCTAGCTAAAGGTTTGTCAATTTTGCTTATATTTTTCAAAAAATAGCTCTTTGCTTTGTTGATCTTTTGTATTGTTTTAGTCTCTAGTTTATTTCTGCTCTGATATTTATTATTCCTTTCCCTCCACTTATTTTGAGGTTAGATTGTTGTTTTTCTAGTTCCTTGGGGTGTCAGGTTGTGTATTTGAGATTTTTTTTTTTACCTTTCTGATGTAGGCATTTAGTGCTATAAACTTCCTTCTTAGGACTGCTTTTGCTGTCTCCCATAGATTTTGATATGTTATACTTTCATTTTCATTTGTATCTAGAAATTTTTCTGTTAAGAAATATTTCTTGAATGAATGCGTGTTAATGCACATGTGTAGACATGCACACGCTCTCCTATGGGAAGCAAGTCCCCCCCAGAGGCAGGGGACGGCTCTGATGCGTTCCCAGGCCCAGCCACTCTGGCTTCTGCCGAGGCCTGTGCACAGTGCCCTCCACCAGCAGGAGGCTGCTGCCTGGCCTGGCAGGGGAGGCCCGGTGCTTGCCCAGCTGGCGGGCAGGCGGCAGCAGCAGCCTGGCGTGGCCACGTGGTTGGGGAGAGTCCCTTCCTCTCCTCCCTCTCCAGGCTGGGAGCGCTAAGGCCTGGGTCTCGCTGCCATGTCCCCTCCCTCCACTGTGGGCCACCCTGCCTACCGGTCCTTGCCTTAACGGCCATGGGTCCAGCCAGGCAGACTCACCTCCCTTCCACAACCGCCTGTGAATCTGTCCCTTCCTCCTAGGCCTGGCTGGATGGACAGAGTCACCCTTGAGCAGGTGCCGCCCTTGCGTTTCTAAGCAGGAGGAGGGTCCCTCACTCTCAGCTCTCTCCCCATCGTGCCCACCTGGTTAGAGAGGGACCTCCCACAGTCACACGGCTCCTTCACTCTCCTCTGGATGTGCCTGGAGGTCAAAGCAGCCCAGCATTATTGCTTCATCAGTGCCTACAGGAAGGACACCGTGTAGACAGGCCTTTGTTCAATCACTATCTTCACATCCTGCTCCGGATGCCTCTCAGGACCTCCTAAGCTCGCCTTGGGTAGGGCTTATCCACCTGGTGTGCTCTCTGAACAACGGGCGGAGAATGCAGCTGGGGTCAGGCGCTCCTGGATCAATGGGGCTGTTCCCTGCCGTGGGAATCTCAGAACAGCCGAGACTCTGGAATCGGAATCTGCCGGGGAGCGTGGGGTGCCCAGGCAGCCTGGGGGAGCTGCCAAGTGACCCTGGTAGCTGACACTGCGCCCTAAAGGAAACCGAAGGGCTTGATCCCAATGGTGTGCCCACCTTCATTCGGCTGTGCAAGTTTGTGACATTTATGGGGAAGCCATCACCCTCAGTTCCAAGGGCCACCTGCACCCTGCCCAGGGCCTGCTGCGCCTGCTGGGCCCAGCCTTCAGACAGCCCCACTCCGTTCCTGAGCCGGCATTTGTGCCTCTCTTGAAGGCACGAGTCGATGGTGGGACAGTGCCCCGTAAGCAGCGGGGTCGTGCAGGGCTGTAAGGAGTGCTGCCTCGCTGCAGAGGTGTCCAGCAACTAATGCCTGCGGGGAGTCGCCGCTCCTCGCTCCAGCCTTCCTGCTTGATGCCGGGAGGGGCTGTCGCCTCCTATCTGTAAGAAGGTGTCTCTCAGGGCACTGATGGGCAGGTGGGGCTGTGTTTCAGGATCCTTGCCCAGCAGTGACAGCAGAGGGAAGCTAGGACTGAAGGCGCAGAAACTGAGGGCCAGCTCTGCTTTGTCCCCTGTCCAGCCACGTGACACCAGGCAGGTCTCCTTCCTTTCTGGTCCATGGTTTTGCAGTGGTGCCTGCTAGAGAAAGCTTCTCCTGGCCTCTTTCACAGGGGAGGGCTTGTCCCCTAGATAAAGCTCAGGACATCGGCCTTCTGCCCTGGTGGGCCAGGGCTTTGGGCAAGTCCCCAGGCAAGGTTTCCCTAAAAGGGGGCAATCAGAGGCTGGTCGTGGTGGCTCACGCCTGTAATCCTAGCACTCTGGGAGGCCGAGGCGGGCGGATCGCTCAAGGTCAGGAGTTCGAAAGCAGCCTGACCAAGAGCGAGACCCTGTCTCTACTAAAAATAGAAAGAAGTTAATTGACCAACTAAAAATATATACATAAAAAAAAATTAGCCGGGCATGGTGGTGTGTGCCTGTAGTCCCAGCTACTCAGGAGGCTGAGGCAGGAGGATCGCTTGAGCCCAGGAGTTTGAGGTTGCTCTGAACTAGGCTGATGCCACGGCACTCTAGTCTGGCAACAGAGTGAGACTCTGTCTCAAAAAAAAAAGGGAGGGAGAGGGGCATTCCTGAAGGCTGTGGCTGCCTTTTGGGTAGGCGACAGGCCTTTGAAGAGGAGAGGCTGCTGGCCCTGAATATGAGGGGCAGAGTCCTGGGGGAGCCCAGTGGGAAGGGGAGAAGCAAAGGGAGGCACTCTTAGGGCTGCAGGACTGAAAGGCTCTGGAATCCCCACGAGGGATTGGGTGCTGCTGCCTGGACCAGTTCCTTCCCTAGCCCCCTGAGAGCCTCACAGGGGCCCTTTCTCATTCTTTCTGCCAACCCGAGCCTCTCCGTGTGCTGTTTTCTCCGTGGGGAACACCCTTCCCCACGCCTCTGCCGGCTCGGATGCTGCCTTTGTCCCGCACTGGTAAGAACCCGTGGGCCCTCCCGCTGGAAGGCACGGCTCCCTCTTTCCCTGTGTCCTTGTCGAGCTTAACTCTGCCCTACGTTGCCAGGCACACCGCCAGCCTGGCAGCCGCCCAGGCCGGGCTCGGTCTCAGCTCACGTCCCCTCTGTGCCCACAGCTCTGTCTTGTGCCCAGCAGGCGCTGACACGACCCAGCGACCAGACGCGAGGGATGTGGCAGTTCCATAGCAGAGTGCCCAGACAGCTTCCTGCCTGGAGTTTCTGGGACCCTGCAGTCTTCCCGGGCACCTCGAGAGCTCTAGAGCTGAACCGGGAGGACTGCGGAGCAGGAGCAGCCGAGAGCTCCCCATGACCTGGAACCCGCCCTGCGCTGCCCTGGGGGCCTGGCCGGGGCTGCAGGCGTCCACTGCGCACAGGAGGAGGCTGGGGGCTGGCGGGGCGAGGACTTCTCTGGGACACCCCGAGACGTGGCAGAACAGGGCACCAGGCTTTGACGTTTTTCACGTGAGGGAACAAAATGGCAAACGGGCAGGTCCGTGTGCCTGGGGCTGGGATGGCGCCGTGCCTTGGAGTCAGGGTCATCTCACAAGAGCGTCTCTTTGGCGCTTATGTTGTTATTATTTAATAAAGAAAAATAAAGAAAGCAAAAACGATCCCTAATCCACTCCCCAGATAATCTCTATGACGTTACTATTATTTTTTAAAGCCGTATGTCCATTTCAGAAAGGTGCGAAATAAAACATAAAAGTCTCCCTGCTGCCACTCTTCTCTTCTAGGTAACTTCTGCCCACAGGTTTGTTCTAGGAAAAAACATAAGTGCACATGGCAGCAATGACGTTCCTGCAAGTGCGAGGCACGTCTATAAGCTCACGTTAAAAGGGGGCACGGCGCCGCACGCTGTGCTGAGCTTGCGCTCTGCGTGTGCCGTGCGCGTGTCTGCGTGCCCCTCCCGTGTGTGCGGGTCCCGACGGCTTTCTGTTCACGGCTGCCTGGTGCTCCCTGGCGTGAGGTTCCGTGTTTTATTTATTGACCAGCCCATGGCTGACCATCTCTAGTTTTTCTTCTGTCAGATAAGGCAACAAAAAATCTTAATGCCTCCGTGCACCTGCCTTGGCATCCTTTTCTGAGTCTGAAAAGGGTAAAGAAAAGCTCCGACCTTTGTTTAAAGTTGTTGGTGCCAGGAAATATTTATTGGCCCACGCCCTTAATGAATAATAACATCAATAATAATAATGACACATACCGCACTTACTAATGTGATCTTCACAGGCACAGCACAAGCAGGAAGGGCGAGCCGGCCAGCGCCCCCCGTCCCAGGAACAGGCGATCTGCCGGGGGCTGCTCTGAGGGCCCAGGAATGGAGCGCCCCAAAGTGGCCCGGGCTGAGGGGCTGCAGCCCAGGTGGCCGATGAGAGCAGCCCTGCAAATCCGGGAAGCCGGGTGAGTTCGGTGGGCAGCCTGGCGCGTAGAGTGGGCAGAAGCAGCGATACCTTGGAGAAGGCGGGTCATTGAAAGTGGCAACTGACTAGGTGACAGATTTGTGGGCACGGGTGGAAGGCTGCGTCAGGAGTAAACAAGGTGTCAGAGGCCTTGGCAGCCACACCATGGGCATGATCTTGATTTGTTCCCAACAGCTTTCCTGAGCTAGAATTCACGTCTTGTGCGACGGACCCATTTAAAGCATGCAATCCCATGTGCATTCAGAGTTGTGCAACCGTCACCACAGTCACTTTAGGACATTTTCACCACCCCCAAAGAACCCCACACCCATTAGCAGTTACCCACGCCCATTAGCAGTTACCCACGCCCATTAGCACTTCTCCCTACTGCTGCCCCACACCCCCAGCCCCGAGCAACCATGAATCTACCTTCTGTCGGTGTGGATTTGCTATTCTGGACATTTCGTACGAACGGACTCATGCAACATGCGGTCCTTTGCGCCCGCTCCTATCACTTAGCGCAGTGTTGTCAAGGTTCATCCGGGCACAGCGTGGATCAGAGCCGCCTTCCTCCTCGTTGCCGAGTCGCGTTTCGTCACGTGGCTGGCCCTCGTCTCGTTTATCCGTTCAGCTGTGGATGGACATTCGCATTGTTTCCCCTCCGTGGTTACTGTGGGCAGTGCTGCTCTGGACGCCCCTGTGCGAGGCTCTGCGTGGGCCTGTGTTTTCCATGCTCCTGGGTATTGACCCTCAGGGAGGAGCCGCTGGGTCACACGGTAACTCTGAGTTTAACATCTTGTGAACCCGCCAGGCTGTTTTCCAGAAGGGCCCGGTGACCTTGATGGAGGCTGCCGGCAGCCCCGAATGGGGCCGGGGGGCAGAGCCTGGGTAAGACCTGAGTGTGTCTGTGCGTGAGGCCAGGATTTCCCAAGATAAACCCTGCAAGTGAAGTGCCTGGACAGGTACGATCGTGCAGATGCGTTGGCTCCTCGTTAATTACAAGAGGCAAAAGAAGGGTCAAATACCAGAAGGCAGGTTTAAGAGTTTCTCTGTCCAAACGCTTCCTACCTATGCCTCCAGTACAGGACCCGCTGAGACTCACTCCCTGAAGGCCCAAGTCCAGGGCTGGTCCTGAACAGAAGTGAGAAGACAATGCTCTGTAAAGTGCAATTTTAGGCAGATGTAGGGAGACATCTCCAGACCCTAGAACATTCTTTGCCAGCCCCTGAAATCTTACCTTCAGGGCCACACCCTCTCAGGCCATAACTAGAAATCAGGATTCAAATGCAGGATTCCTCCACCCATGGATCGAGAGTCCATGCGCACGAGGAGTAGAGGAGCAGCGGGGGCTTCCTGGGCGGTGTGGGGGGTCGTGGGGGCAGATCAGGAAGGGACATTTAGCTGCAGCCGTCCTCAAGTGGGTGGGGCTCTGAAGAGAGGCCTGCCCCCCCAGCCCGTGCCCCGCCAGGCCCACGCCACCTCCATGACCCAGAGGGGACTGACTTCTGATTTCTTTCCAATTCCCTTATGTCCTCAAAAAATAGTGTTAGTACCTTGGCCAAAGTACATTCCTCTCCAAAACACAAACAGAGCAAAAAGCTCCTAATAAACAGACACAGAGTTCCCATCCTGCCCTCCTTGCACACCTCACACCCCAACACACACCTGCCAGTAAATCACTGAACGAGGCCTTTCCGGAACACAACTCGGCATCAGGTAGACCGGATGCAAAAGTGGAGCTCTGCCCCTTACA